ATTTTTGGCCAGCGCGGGCAGGTCCCAACACTAACCATCTATCATGTTGGTAAAATATTAGTCAATCAAAGAACAAACCATTTTAATCTTGATAAAATCATTTCTATGAGCATGCAGTATGCAAATAGAACATTGGTTTACATAAATGCAAGCATTATCTTACATTACAAAACAGGTGTATTATAATTGCAGAAAATGTAAAATTGTAACACTTTGCTGAATCACAACTAGCTGGAAATGATTCACCGAAAAAAGATATTCATCAACAAAAAATAATCATGCAATTCCATTAACTTGCCACACAAAAAGCACATACTACAAGCTTGACCTTTTCTCTCCCTGAAGTGATGATGGTGTAACTTCTCCCCATAGTAAGCATGCATTATTCATCAAGAAGGTAATGAGAATAGTCAAACTTAACAGATTGAAGTTTTTATCTTGATCTTACACCAAATTCTTGTCACTAATTTACAAGGAAATGTGTAGCAGCTAGAGAGGAGAATTAACAATCGGATCTTGGGAGTTAAAGGGTTCAAGTCAGCATCCTCGATGTCCATCGAAGTAATTTAAATGAGTGCCCTTCCCACCCAAATCAAGTGTGGAAGAGTACATTCAAATAATCTTCAGCATATTAAGCACAATATCTCTAAATTATTACAAATCATTAAATATAAAAGTATCCAACAAAACATACCTCCATTCCAAAACACCGGACCACTGTACAATGTTCGCTTTCAACACTGTCACTTCGCACAACATGGCTCTCTAATTTCAACACCAGCTCACGTTACGCGTTTAGCCCGCCATTACCACAATTTAAGGCCTACAAATCGTGTTCAAAAGCAAAATTCAGCAAAGATGTGAAAAAATTTCTCTAGAAACATAAATTTAAGATGAAATAAGGGACACCAACGGGTTTCACATCCTACACGTGTCCACGTGAAAAATGCTAGCAACACTGTGCACAACTTTCAGGACGAGTGCTCGCTACATTTGTTCGAAGAGTTTGAGATTCAGAGGAAAAAAAAAACAAACGCTATATAGATCTTAACAAAGCTGTTTTTCAATTTTACTTCATCTTACCTTCGAAAATCAAGTTCAACGCGCAAACCATCAGAGTGTTCCACACGCTACAAGAGAACTCTTGATGCATGCCGTCCCGCACCGTTTGAATTCTGCCACTCTGCCGCTGACTGGACCAAACTCTTCCCCAGGACAATTCAACCATTACCGAGGAGTAAACACAAAGGAGTGGGATTTACAGGGCTCCAGAACATGGATTACATTTCCACATCGGCGAACAAACTGAAATAAAGAGATTCAATACCCATGGCTTAACTTATGTTTAACGAATTATGTAAGTTAAATAACGAACAAGCTAAACTTCTAAATATTAAAATCACGGCAGCTGACCTAAGAATCCCATATTCAGAAAAGATAACATTTCAGTCAGTAACCTTCTTCTTGACCTCGCCAATTACCATAATACATGTTTCAACACCAACTTCCTTTGCACCGAAAGCTAAGAGGTCCGTGGACTTAAAATCCAGCCATACATCCAAATTGGTTTTAAATTGGCGATCTCACAACGAAGCATGGTTCGCACAAACTTATTGTATCGTTTAACCCTTTAACTCCCATGAGTGACCAAGACAGAATTTCTCCTTACAATATCAATACAATATCAACCAGATAAGTGATGAGAATAAAGAAAAATATCAATTTGGGGATAATTAGTTAATCCAATATTAAATTCTCTGAACTAACATTATAAGAATTGTATGGATGACAGTAGGGAGAATTTGATCTGGGAGTTAAAGGGCTAATCTTTTAGACCCTAACATTGGTATGCATATTCTCCATACAGTTCTTTATAAATTTGCTCAGATGCCCACAATGAGAATTTTTTAATAATCCAGAGTTTCATGAGTTGGTGATCTTGTCCTTTATTTTTGTGACCGTAATTTTTTATTCAGGGGTGATATTCTATGGAGTAATTAGACGCTTGTCACACTAAAGGGCCGCCTTAAAGGTTCAAGCAATCATTTGGGAAAAACTCTAACGTACCTTCATTCTTGAGCGTATAACCTCATGATTACTCACCCTTTACTTTTTAGTCAGGATGTTGGAAGCTGTTCGATACGTTAATTAGTCGTAATTAGATTAACACCTATAAGTGATTTCGTTTATCTATACATATCCAAACAATCATGTATGCGGCACGTGTTTTATCACCCCATATATGGCATTGTTCCACGTGCTTACAACGGGACATTTTGTGTGTGTTCTTTTCGAATAAACTGGTAGCTTTGAGTGGGAGTTAATCGAAGTGTTGTAATATAATCGATCAAGTGAATAAACCGTGACTTATAAGGAAGCGTGGTACAGCTTTTTCAAGTTTTCGACAAGGGAAGTACATGTGGCAATTTTGGAAGCTATTACCATTGCAACATTATTAAATTTCGAACGCTAGTGGCCCATTATTATTCTATTTCGAAGCTTTTTTCAATCACAACTGATGAGACGAAGCGTAAGAAAATCGCTATGCAAATGTACGAACTATTTTTTAAAGATGCATAGGGTAACATGAAATAACCTTTTTCTCAACCCAGTGGAATTGGGGCGTTATTTGAGTTTCCCTATAGCTGTTATCGTTATTTTTCTTTGTTTTGTTTTTTTTCTGCTTTTTCAACATTTCATAACCGTGAAAAGATAGATCCTAAGGAATTTTCTATTGTAACTGAAATATTGGTAAATTCATTTTACACTAATTTTGTGGGCCCTACTCGTTTCTTGGAATAGTTTGTACCAGGTGTTCGTTAAGTAAAACGGACGGAATAAACCAAAGTGAACGGCGCGAGAGTAGCGGTGGACTGGAAACCTATCTACTGCTATCGCGCCGTTAACTAATATAGCGCTTGGTTTTACTAACCGAACGCCTGGAAAATACTAAATTTGGAGTATTTTGCGGCAGGAACCAGTAATCTGATTGTAAATTATTCTTTTCCTTTAAAAAAAATGAGTTTATCTAAAGCCTGTTAGCAATAAATATTTGGAACTTTTTTTTCGAAGAAAGAAATTTTGGGTTCCAGCTTTGTTTTGCTGCCGAATGGTTTCAGACATAGCACATATAGGTTCATAGGTACACGTTTCATATAATACCAAATTTAAATGCTAAAAACATTGCAATAGATTCTTTACAGTATGTTTCATAGTCATTTTTTTAATGAATATGTTACCGTTAGGAGTATGGTGCAAAAGGGACAGGGCGCTATTGTACGTAGAGTTTAAATGCTGTATAATTTTGGTTCCTCTCTCTTCTTTCGTAATTTCATTACATTGGGAACAGACTCTGCATTTCGTGTAACAGAAGACTCGTGAATTAAAAACGTTCTCGCTTTCTCACAACATCCAATCCAGTGTGGAATCATGATTACGCCGGTGAGCCGATAGGCGTAAATTTCGTTGATCCTGGCGTCAATAACGAAGGATAAAGATTTCGAGGGAAAAGTAACCCATGGAAAACACTCTTTTTTTATCTCGATCGCTCATTGGAGCGTTGAGGAGGGCGGCGCAATAATGGGCAAAGTTGCGAAAAGGCAAAGGCAAAACCCGCGGCAAAAATGGAAAACCGCAAAATGTGCTGAGGAGCAAGACAACGAATCGACAGACAGCTTTCAAATTATAATTTGAGGCGACTTCTTTGTCCGAAATCTGGGCGCCAGCGTGAAGCTCCGCCAATACTAGTCGCTTTCACAAAGGAATTTTTCTTGTCTTGACCAGAATGGTTCTCTTTCTTTCTTCTTTAGACCTGTTTTCCCTTTTTTTCCTTTTTTTTTACCAGAGACTTTCTTCTGCTTTTAATTTTTCTACGAGCAAACAACTTTTCCATGAGCAAAGAGCTTCCACGAGTGAATTTTGTAAAGTGCGCAAGGTAAACAAAATATGGAAAAAAAAACATAAAAAAACGAGCCCCATTGAGAGCGGTTGCCGCGAAAATTCCCCCTGGGGACCGGCCTTGGTCCGAGAATATGACACCTACCTGGTTTAGTGACTTTTCTTTGAAAATACGTTTTTCCAAATTACTCAGGTGCTTTTAAAGATTTCATAAATTTTTTAATGGAAACGTTACGTTGAATGTTTGAGTTCAGTTTGGTCAAATAAAATAAAAATCGATTTTTTCGGCCTCTGAAGGTGAGAAGTAACCTTAATACAAGATGACTGCATAATCCTTTAACTCCCAATATCTCATTAATAATTCTCCTTACTGTCTGCCAAACGGTCCTTAATGTCTGAGCTGCAAGTGTTGCAGAATAAGGCTTGTCTGCCTGTGATCTGCAAGACCCTTCGTTGCAGAAATATACCATAACAAAACCACTCAATTAGAAAGCATGAGTTTCATTGCTTGGATTTATATTTCAGTGGGAGCCCTTTACCATGATTACTATGAATTTAAAAAAATTGAATAAAACATTAACAAAGAAAATGCCGCTTAAAAGCGTAAAAATTAATATAAATAAGATAATCACCGACGCTACGAGAATGTAACAACTAAAACTCGAGCAAGCATAATAAGTGCCCCTGACTTCAAATGGTGAGGTACTTAATCACCAAACTCTGAGGTAATCACATTCTTAATAATTTTAATGTTGCCGGGAAAGCCGTCATAGGTTTCGGCACCTCTAAAAGCCAAAGACCACCGATCGGTAGACAGTCTGCATTTGGTAGACATAACCTATAATTATTTCGAGAGTTTCTCCTGCTAATTCTAAAACAATTGGTGAATTTTGTGGTTCAGCAGCTTGGTGCTAAAATGGACCATCACAACGTTATTCAAGAAAGTTTTGCATTATGCATGTACACTAAGCCATACTAGTAAGTGTTTGCCATCTGATACTCGTTTTAATACAAAGCAAACCTTGCCCTCTTATTAAAATCAAAATCAGGTTCCAATAACCTCAAGTTAATTATTGAATCCCCCTGAAATCCTGGAGCTTAAGGGCAGAAAACTAAATGTGTCATTCACATTGGAATATCTCACAAAGGCCTGAAACTTCTTTATCGTTAACGTTTCCAACTTCTAGAACACAGAAAAGGTGAGAAATAATTTTTTTCCAGATGATCGAGGGCAATTATTACCAATCTTAGCTCGCTTACTTTCTGAGATAAGCACTAAAGCAAAAATACAGTAGAGTGTAAGCATTTTTAACGGGAGGACTCTTGAAAACTAGTTATAATTTTCTGAACCAGCATCGATTTAGTCTGTGCTGCAGTAGCGGAGGGAACATGTGGGTGTGCCAGTTATGTAGTAAACATAGTAACCGCCGCAATTTATCACTTTGACGGAACTTGACCAGTGGCAACAGTCTGACGCCCAGTGGAAGCAAACTGTCCCGTTTACCTGACCATCATCTACTGTAGGATGTGTACTATTTAGCCATCCGGAAGCGTGAGTGTTACATTGGTTTTCAGGTGGACATGAAGTAGGCATTCTTGTACCTGCTGCTCCTTCCAGACGGTACCAACCCTTGAGTCCGCCGTCACAAACCGTGTTTTGATTGGTGTAATTTGTCCTTCTATCTGCTCCTGTCAGACTTTGATAGTTTTGACATTCTAAAATGGGCAGAGAAGAAATGATTTAAGAAATTCAAAAACAGAGAAATAAACCTTAAATGCAATTTATTCATCTAGACAGGCTGGCCCAGTTCAGCTCCAGTTCAGCTTAAAGCTGGTTGAAATGGGGACCTGTATAAACGATAACACGGCCAGACCACAACACCGGAAGCAACTTTCCCTCCCCTTTGCGAGAAGTGCGAGGGCTCTCTTTAACGTTCCTTGCTAACCAGTACAGAAAAGATGAAGGAGACGTGAACTAGGGTTTATTTTTTTTTATCCGAGAAGAGAAGAATTTCCAAACATTTGCACATATCATACACACATTCTCAGTTATTTTAAGACCCTAAGTATAAGTAAGGTCTGGTGCTTGAACCCTTGATCTCCCGCACAGTAGTCGGAGCTCTACAATGTGGCCTAACCATTACGATACAGATCGGAGCCGCCAATGTATTCCATCTGAGTTATTTCATTGTGCAGTGATCCTTACTGTTATAAGTTTCGTTTCCTCTGGGATCAAAGTGGGAAACCTCTTCAACAGAAGAACACACGATTCGCTTCAGCTCACTTCACTTGCACAGCCAGCTGGATCAAAAATTTCCACGTAAAATTGGTTCTATTTTGTGCAAGTTGCTTGATTACCTTCTGTATGATTATTTATAACTACCCGACGGCGAGCTCCTGCTTAAGAGAAGATAGTTACAGGAAAAGCTGTAGGATTTTACACCAAGAAATAAGATACGAAATTCAGATTTCGAAGACCTGAGGCACTAACCTGACGGGCTCGCAAAGTTGCAAGATCTTCCATCCCCTACGTACGGATGGTGACATGAGCAGGTGAAGGACCCCACAGTATTGGTACATAAAGCCAAATCATGGCAGTCGTGCTCGCTGCTGGCACACTCATCAACATCTGTTGATATAAATTGGCAGGTTGATACAGATAATAAATGAGAAAGGAACAGTAAGAGACTTGCCGGATTTTCATATTTGCTATGAATCCGACGGATGATAAATTGGCCCAGGGATGTCGAAACTTGCTTGACGAAAGACCAAATTTGACTTGTAATTGAGCATTTGTGGTGTAAATATGTAAGCTCACTCATAAAACCTCTTCTACCTTTGCAAGTATGTCCATCTCCAGAAAAACCAATTTTGCAAGAACAACTATACGATCCCAGAGTGTTTTTGCAGTCGGCGTTCTCATTACAAATACGAATGGAGGTAGTGCATTCGTCAGCATCTGTTAAAGAATGAAAAAAACTCATTTAAAGCTAAAATATTCATTGATCCTGAAGCACTTTTATTCGGAAACTTATTATTTTTGTTTTTATGTTCTTTTTATATCTCTTATTTTGATTTGCTAACATGAATATTCCTTTAATTTCAGTTTTCTTATCGCGAATCTTATGTTAGTTCACTCTGATTTCATCTTGGAAAATAAGGACGCCGCTTTGGCAGATAGTTATTTTAGAGGAATCAGACATCTCTCGGAGTGCATTTTGAACCTGACATCTCAAGAACTTAGGTAACCTTAGTTGTTTTTTTTTTCTCTATGTATGATGTTTTTGATAACCCGCCTACTGATACCTTTATAAGAGGGCTGATACTAGTTTCGTAACCAGGCCTCTGACGGCCAATTTCAGTTCTAGTTACACGGTAGGACCTGGGTACGAGGTCAGGCATATAAAGAAGTTCCTTGCTAGTTCGAAACTAGTCACCTCAAGTGTGGAAGTGCTGAAGAGTGATATAAAAATAAATGAGGGAAAAAGTTTATGACGTTTTGGGAAAATTCCAACCTTTCTTCAATATTGTTACAGTCTTTCTTCGAACAACTCTCACCCAGACGATTAGACTAACGATCGATTATACCTAGCACAAAGGCTAACAAAGGCTTCTACTTTACTGTCTTACTCTACCTTCTGTTTTCATGTCACAGTGAGCCAACACAGGAGTGTCAAGTATGATGAAATTCAACCAGTATTTGCCGCTGACCGCTTTTCCACCTTCACTCGCCTTGATTTCCTTACACGAGTCTGCAGGCAGTTCTGGAATGGCACCGAGAATAGCTAGAAAAAAAAAGAGTAAAAGAGACACTATGTCTTTCCATTTAGGACAGTTGGCCAAATCATTTTGCCTTAACGCTCACCTCTCTTCGTATCTCGTCTGAAGTAATATCTCTCAGAGCTGGGTACAAAATCTTCAGGTCTGGCCTCCTTTGTGCGGTTACTCAGCTCACACTTGTCTTGGGTGAACACATAGTTTAAGCTTTGGCATCTGACGTCACGATAACATTCCCGCAAACACACATCACCGAATGCTGCTCCAATGATTGTTTTAAAAATGTGTTTTTGAATCATCTTACCAAAGATGGAGACTTCACGTGTATCAAGGTGGTACTGAGTAACAACTGAGTGAAACGATACCAACATGAAGAGGAGAACTGGTAAATGAAAGAACTCTTGGACTCCCATTGTGGTTATATAATCTCACCTGAGATGAAATCATGAAGTTTGAGAGCGCAGTGATATACAAATATGTGGCCGTCCACAGAAAAACAGGGAATACGTAGTATACGGTACCTGCAGAGGCACTTATTGTTTGGCTGTTTTCCAAGCAGTATGACATATCGCACACACACATGACTAGGGGTATGTCATGGATGCTACAAATTTGAGGCTTGATGTGAAAAGGCACGAGTTAGGTATGGCACGAGTCGATAGGACACGGATACTAAAACAGTCCCATTACGCGTTCGTCTATGGCTTAATCAAAAGTTTTACTTATTTTTTTCTAATAAGAAGTTGTCAATGCTTTTTAAATGCAATCCCTTAATGGCAGAAACAGTTTTAACTAAGTACGGCGAGCGGTCGTCGTCCCTATGCATGCATGCAAAAAAAGAAAAAACACAGACAACTAAATATAAAGTATCAGACTCCTTTAAGACTCATTCCCTAACGTCTTAGCAGCTCTTTATTCCGATCTAAACATTCACGCTAGTCTTTAAAAATAGCACACAGTTCGCCGCCCATGATAACGTTTATGAAAATTTCCCAAAATGATTTCGTTAGTTTAGCTCTGTCCTATCATGATGATAACAGAACCATAAGGTACTTCTCCTATGCTATGAACTTGCCTGAGTGAGTATCGCAGTCTTCCTTCACTTTTCAAAAATCGATAAAGAGATCTTTGGAAACAAATTGACTTCAAATGGAACTTGACTAGTATTGAAAGAAGAACTTTACAGACCTCAACATGCTTAAATGATAAAATTATGAAACCTGATGCTCTTTTTTAAACTTCTTTTAATGCCACCTGCAGACTTCCTTTGTAAAAATTTTGGCTGGGATCCACGCAGAATTTCCTTTTTCTTCGAAATTCAAAATATGATATCGCTGTTATAATGCAAGTAAATGACAACGAAACTCTTAGCTTTATCTAATAGAAACATTTTTCAAAATTCGTTGGCTTTTCAAAACTCGTTCCTTCTTATCTTTCGTTATGACACAGCTATAATATTGTTCTTGTTAGGAATAGGGCAGAACTGCAAACGTATTTTTAAGTAGTTCATGACATTAAGGCCGAACACATTTTGGTCCTTAAGTCATGAACGACAGCTGTCTCTAAATTTGGATCCGTTTTTTCATTTTGACAAGAGGCACTTCTTTGCAATCACTTTTCTTGAGAGTTCTGCCGTGTATCTGTTACATTTTTGTGCTGCTCGTCATTGCAGTCACTGCTGGGACCTGAAAACGATGGCTGATCTCAGAAAGGAGCGAGTTTAAGAGTAAAGTCAATTTTAAGCTTTCATATATCGTCCAACATTATCAAACCAGCGGGTGCCGGTTAAACTTATTAACATCCTAATTCGAGTTGAAATTTCAAATATTTACTTCACCTGCTTGTATATTAGTGTCATCAATTATTAAAATAAAAAATTTTTGCCACCGAAGTTTTTTTTAGTAATTTAATAAAGGCCAGAGAAACTTTTAAAGTTAATGTCCAATTCAGTTGATTGATTAAGTCCAAAAAGCATTTTATAACACGACTGCTACTCTTTTTCTCTATTCCTCGTACTTGTTTATGCGCTATTGACCTCCTATATTCATTTTTACATCAAAATGTGAGACCTTAGATAACTTTTCTGTTTCTAAATTTGGATCTGTTTGTTTCACTTTAATTTGATAAGAAGCAATTCTTTGCAATCACTTTTCTTGAGAGTTCTGTCGTGTATCTTTTAGACTTTTTCCTTGCTCTTCAGTGCAGTCACTGCTGAGACCTAAAAACCATGGCTGATCTTAGAAAGGAGCGAGTTTAAGAGATAAGTGAAGTTTTCATCATTATAGTCCAACATTATCAAACCAGCGGGTGCCGGCGAAGCTTATTAGCATCCTAATTAGAGTTGAATTTTAAACATTTGCTTCACTTGTTTGTATACTTAGAGTCATCAATGATTAAAATGAAAAATTTTCGTCATCGAAGTATTTTTTTTTTTAATTTAATAAGGGCCAGAGAGAATTTTAAAGTGAGTGTCTTCATTTTAAGGGAATCTTACTTTCATAGAATAGCGTATACAGGTCGCATGAAATGTACTTTTTTAAGAGAGAATGTCAGCATCCATCGAACAAATTTGAAATATTGTGGCAAGTCGCCCAAAATTCGTTTCCTCTCCTACTTTCATATTTTGTAGCCCAATATGTTCTAATAATTGTGGTGTAGTTTTTTTGTGAAAATATATTTTAGTTTTCGAGAAATGACTTTTTTCGTTCGACCGCTCAAATATGCAAATTTCCACCGTGAATATTACACGAGTTGTGTGACCTCATGTAACGAATGTGCTAGACCTACGGTATTTCTGTGAACATAATCCTTCGTTTTATCATCTAAACTTAATCCCCTGTCGTTATTGAAGCTGGCAAAGAAATATTTATTTTTTGGTGAATATTTTTGTCCGACATACTTTTCCTATGTCGAAAAGTAGCATCAAAACAAAGACAGTTTTAACAATGACTGATATGACACAATCTACTGAGCTTCAAGCTTTTATGAGACAAAAGGATGGTTATAAAGTTACTGTAAAAATTTCTTTGTGTATTTGTGTTGTTCTATCTTGAGACGAACTCAAAGTCCGGCAAAATTTACTTGAAGCGACTATGAAATGTACATGGTGCGCCTACTTGTCGCCACCGTCAATTGGAATAAATCACTACAATTTGTAAAAAAGTCTAACGTAACACTCTTACCTTGTTTATTTATGATTTTATAAGCCGTTTCTATTATTATATTACGCCTGGGTATTACTTTTTGATAGGAGCTCAGGTTTTGCGTTGTGTTTTCCTCTCCTTCATTTATATCATAAGCAATAATTGATACCGACACAAGTGAATATTTACCATTTATAAAGATTTTTGTTTACGTTGAATTGAAAATATTAAAATATGTACTTTCTTCACTAATCGTTGTTTCAGCGGCAGCGAAGCAGTTAAAATCGGGTTGTTGCTTCAACGCTACTGAAATTTTTAGTATTCAGACAGGCGAGCAAAGCGTGATGCTCTGGGAATAAAAACTTTTAGGGGCCTTACATGATATCCGAATGAGTTTTGTACAAGAACGAGTTCATACCGGTTGCCACATAATAACCAGCGTAAAATTTATCCGAAATGAGTCGTTTCTGAGTGAGTTTATTAGGGTTTTCATTATAGAACGAAACACTCATTCTGGACGACCTTTTCTACCTGTACAATGTAAACGCGGCACGGCTCTCATATTTGTATGAATCCTCTGTAGAAGCGAGGGAAGCATTGAAAAAGACAGAAAAGACTCGTTTTTACAGGCTAATTGTTGCCACTCCCACACGGATAAGGCTTAAGCACCTTTGATAATTTTATAGCGGTTATTTTTGAAATTCTAGGCGCGCACCCCCGCCCTCTTATGTAAAGGGATCCCCGGGGGTGCTAATACGTGCAGCACACTTGACATTTAGCAAGGACAAATTCTGATGTGATTTTGGCGAAGAGAAACATGTTTTGTCAGCGTCCAGTTGCTAGTGCGGAAGGGCCCTTTACCACCGTGTGCATAATAAAATTACGCGTCCCCCCAGACAGCGTAAAGCCAACAAAATGTTCAGACATAAGTTCAGAAAATTCCGTCTCTGTCTGAATTTTTGGTATCCTATTGACCAATTCCCAATCGAAACTTAACTCTGACGTCACGCGTAATTTTGCTCACGGTGGTAAGTAGCCTACTTACCGAAGCCAGATTGTACGAATTTTCCAGACATCTTGAGTACTATCTGTGATACACGCTTGCCAATTCCTCTAACAGCTTTTGAAATCGACTTAACCCTACCTTTACCATGGCCGGACATTTCTTTTGGCACCCTACATCTGCTATTGGAACCACGATTCTACCCAACACCGAGATTTGATCTGTGAGTAGGGCAATTTGTAAAATCATCGCTATCTTTTGGCGTCTCGAAGATGCCGGCACGCGGCAAAACAAGATCAACTTCATTTTCTGGATCTGAAAACTTGCAACTCCGCAAGTGACTTGAAATGTCTTTTTAACAATCACGCGAGGGTAAGACTTGGTCTTCTCGATAACTAAACCCACAAGTTCCACCTGCGAACGATTTAACTAAATAGCAAATCTCCATGTTAGCATGTAAGATGAGACGCTTATAAAACAGATCAGTTAGCTAACTCAGTATGTAGCTTGTCAATCAAATTGACTACTATAACCATACTTTGACTTCAGCCGGCAAAGGAATCATTGATGGATTTGGACATTTTAGTTTTCTGAATGCAGTAATTCCTGAAAGGTTTTTCTAGATGTCATGCAAAGAGGAAAAAAAACCCATCTCTTGGTATTTCGGAGGTTGACTCATCTTTAAATTTCTGTGTCACGCTTGTCACGCAACTGATATAATAAGTTAGAGAAGATATATAAACTGGAACTCAAATCTGGCTAGAACGTGGTAGAGCATAATTAACGTGATCGTCGAAACAGCTAATAAAATCATAAATAAACAAGGCTAGAGTGTTATGTTAGATTTTTTTGCAAATTGTGATGATTTATGCCAGTTAACGGTGGCGACAAGTAGGCGCACCATGTATATTTCATAGTCGCTATCAAGTAAATTTTGCCGGACTTTGAGTTCGTCTCAAGATAGAACAACACAAATACACAAGGAAATTTTTACAGTAACTTTATAACCATCCTTTTGTCTTATAAAAGTTTGAAGCTCAGTAGATTGTGTCATATCGGTTATTGTTAAAACTGTCTTTGTTTTGATGCTAATTTTCGACATAGCAGTCGACATAGAGTCGCTACTTTCGTGGCATCAGCGTGAAGGGTGTCGCAGAGTAAAATCCGATGCTTGCGAGAAGCTGTGAATCCGGCTTTCAAATCCGAGATAGAAACAAAAAAATGTTTGGCGATACAACTCGTTGTATGGCCGATGCTCTGTTCAGATCACTGTAAAGTACTGTACTTCCGGCACGAAAATATTGCGCCACAGTCTCTTCTCTATGCGGTTGTATTTGCAATATATCACATTCTACATTGTAATGTTTTCAAACGACAGCCATCATTTACAGACTTAATTCGCTTACAGGTATAACTTAGCTACCATTTGACCAAGACTTCAGCTACAAGAACAAAGTTCAGACTTTGAGAACTCAGAGAGAAATGCGAAACTTAAAAACCGATGTGAAAAGCGCCATGAGCGAAATTGTAAGTACCGCAGAAAATGACGAG